GTATATTCAAGTTACCGGATATCTTAATGTTGCATGCACTTGTGGTGTAGTGAGCAGCTTAATTAGAAAACAATGACAATAAAGTGATTTTTATGATTCTGAGTGATCGAAGTAGTTGTATTAGTTTACTTGTTTTTTGTAATAGTTGATGATTTCAAAGTATTTCAGGATAATTTTCTAACATACTGTGATACCCTTCGATTCTAGAGTCACGGGTGATCAAGTCCGAGCACAGATCTGAGTGATACCAAACAATTAATATGTAAACAAGCAAGAATAAAAACTGATTTAAGAATAAAATAATAATTCGTTGAAAGAAATCTAAAATGAAAATCCTCAAACCTTAAATAATAAATTAATATAATTAAAATCCGTACAACTCGGGAATCCACCTAGTGGACCCCTAATCCCAAATCCTTAAATAAATTTACAGAATTAAAAATCCAAAACCAAAATAGAAAGGAAGTCCTATGTAAGCGGAAGAATGAGTGTCTGTATCTGCATCAACACGATCAAGCTCTAAGCCTGGTACTGACGAACACCTGAAAAATAAGAGTGGGTCAGGCCCACATGCAAGTTCCATACTACTACAATCCATACATAAACCCGATACGCAGATACATCCTAAATAGCTCGGCAATATCTACAATAGTCCATATATATATACACACACACACTATAGGATGCTCACTAGCCTATAACATAGTTCAGCCTGGGTAGAAGGTGACATATAAAACATGTTTTTCAGCGGCCAAGTACTTAGACCTACCAGGAAACATTAGCTATATCTAGCTACTCAACATTTGCAATATACGCACCCTAACTGTGATCAGGAGACTCAAGCTCGTATCACGGTACCATACTGATATGTATATAAAGTCCGTATACTCCTAATACAAAATATCATCTATCTTTTATAGTGGTCTGATATAAGTATAACAATCCATCCAGAAACCAAAGTAGGTCATTCAATTCATAATTGATATGACACAAATATGAATGGAACTGAACCTTTATGGTAAATTCACACCTCAATCCAGAATAGGTAGGTTATAGTGTTTGAACTAATCCATACCTAGTATGCCACCGTCCCATACCGGTGCATACTATCTTCCATCCAATATAGTTGACAAATTCATAATAAATATTCATCAACCATACTCCAAAATAAACATAAATACAGTCCTATTATATGTATGACCAAATTATGCATCCAGTATATGATTATAATCATAAAACTTCCATTTAAATTGTTAAAACATTGATAGACAATTTAAACCATCCATATCCATCCAATTGATAAAACAGAAATTTCAATAGTTCATCAATTAACACCCACACCATGCTATAATGACTATCAAAAATATGAGCTAAGCACATTATACTAGACATCCCTAACCATACTCTCATACTAGTTCATTTAAATTATTAAAACAAAGACTAGTAATGAAAATCCTCATTAATCCCTGACGGCATGAAAATTATCGTTTCATTACATGACGTCCTTTTTAATCCTCCATGTTAAAACATGTGCTTAACATAATATGTCAACTAAGAAGTCTCACAACACATTATATACAGCCCCAATGGTATTTTATACTTACCCAAAATAAACTGGTTAAAACAAACCGGCAAATAAAACTCCTCCACTCTTGACAACATGCAACAATGTATTTAAATTACATAACGTCCACAACCACAACCCAACCAACCCTCATGGAACTTAAATATATCACAAATATCTTTGGTACAACATCCCTAAAATATCTTTCAATTCAGTCCATTCAATTGGCTAACCAAACTAGAAATTTAAGACTTTCTCCTTCCTGGACAACATGCACATTAATTTTTTTTTTTTTATTTTTTAAATTCATGATGTCCATTTATATTAACACACTAGCATATACTAACTATTTTATGGTTTTAATAGGTTAATTTTAAACATCTAAAACCCCACGCCACTTTCTATTAATTTCATTTAAGCCCCTAAAATCAGAAAACCACAAAAACCCACGTACTGGGCATTTAGAAAATTGGAGCTGCCTCCAATTTTAAGTTGAGCCGGCTCCAATTTTAAGTTGAGCCGCCTCAACTCTTTGTGGAGCCGGCTCCACTTCAATGGAGCCGCCTCCATTGAAGTGTGGAGCCGCCTTCACTTCCCCAGCCTCCGTTTTTCACTCTCTACTTCCTCTGTTCTTCGTCTTCGCTTCTGGCGAAAATTCCAACTGTCTGTTCTAAGTTTCTTTAGAATTTTCAAGGTTCAATTTAAGCCCAAATACTCTTAGAAACTTCTCCAATTCCATTATGAATTAATTGAAAAAAATCTAAATTGAAAACAAAAACAGTTTATGTTTCTCTGTTCGTCTTCTTCGCGTCCGGCGAAGTTCAACTCTCCGTTCTAGAATTTTTCTTACATTCCTAGGATTCAATTCAAGTTCATTCCATCCTAGAAACTCCTCAAATTCTCTTGTGAAAATATTGACAAAATTTTAAATCAAAAACACAACAGTTCATAATTTCAAAAGCGAACAGGGTTTAAAATTGTACAGAGACTCTATCACGCATAAACATCCATTTTAATAATTAAATTAGATTCCTGGAGACTATAGAGAATGCACAGAACACAAGTTTACAGGAAGGAGATAGAATGAAACTTGCCTTCGAGATTTTTGAATTAAAAATCTCTATACCGTCTTCCTAGATTTTCCGGCGATCACGCACTGTTCTAACTTCTCTGTTTCCTCCTTGGTTCCTCACACGAACAACACTCCTCCTATCCTTCCTTGGTTCAACCCACAGTCCATGGTTGAAATCCCATCTGGTGGTTCTCTCAGTCTCAAACTCCCCTCTGTTTTTCCCTCAAACACCATTACATGCCTCTGTATCTCTCTATCTCACAATACGTGAATAGGGTTTGGTTTTTTCCTCACCCTAGCAAACGTAAAAGATTATATATATATAGGCACATACTAAGACCTAATTTTTAATTCCCAGCTAACTATAAGTCGGCGACCTAATTATACAAAAACAATAAAACCCTACGACACAAACAACTTACAAAAGCTACCAAATATAATCTACCAAAAACACGTCAATTAAAACCAATAAATCAAAGAAGTAAATTTAATCATAATTAAACAATTAAATAAAACCAACCAACAAATAATTACAATTAACCAATTAAATAAAATAAATACATAATAACAATTAACCAATTAAATTAAAATAAATTCCCACTAAATCAACTAAGCAAATAAACCACATAAGTCACATAATTAAATCAAAATGTTATAAAAACAAAATTAAATTCCCTTTTTATCCTTCTGAAAACTAGGGGTATTACATTCTCCCCCCCTAACAAAAGGAATTCCGTCCTCGGAATTCACGAAATTCTGAATTATTGTCGTTTTAAAATTCATTTCCGTTTTCGTGTGGTATAGCCTCTTTTAGGTAAGCTCTACCAAATTCCCAACATAACCAACAATATACTAAGTTTCCATGTAAAAGAAATATAACATAAATGTACAACTCCTAGGTTGTATCTATCAACGATCCAATCATATCCATATTTAGCGAAGGGTAACAATCCCTATTCCTTCCAGTTCCATAGAACAAACACATAAAATTCCTATGCATACAGCGCTTAATAAGCTGGTAACGCTAAACAATAGGCTACTGCCTAAACCAATAACCAAAATCCGTGAAGAGTTAGTGCGATACGTGAACCTGACCTTCCTCTAAAAGACAATGTTTTGCCATGATTCGATATCCTGTCTAGAGATGTGAAGCATAGTTGTTGCTCTAACATCTTCAAAACTCCATTAACATAGCAGTGTTTAACTCCTATACGAGATAACCACAGACACGTGTATTATACGAACAATCCGAACATGTGACTGATTTGAAGACATGTGAGGTACTTGCTTAGCACCGAATAAAAGTGTTGTAAAATTTGAATTTTCGGACATAATCGATTGAGATATGACTATGCGATGGATATAGTTTAGGACACTTTCAAACTCCACGAGTTAGTTTTGTAATAATTTTTTTTAAAAAAAAATTGATTTCAATATAATTTTAAAATATATTACAAACTGCTCCGTATAAAAAAAATAAAAACAACTCAAATCTATCTATAAATTTTAAATAAGTGATTTAATAATTTATGATAATGCGGATAAAGATTTTATAAATTTTTTTTTGTAGGGCAAGAATGTTAGGGGTTAGGGAGTGAACTTAGAGAGGGTGCAAGGTTCGGCTATCAAATACGAATAGTAATCTAACAACTCGGGCAACACAACACTTGCATGAAGTTGATAAAATAAATAAAAATACTAGTGATTTTATTTATAATAATGTGGATAAAATAAGAAAAAAATATTACTAGTATTATTTGTATACTCCATGTAACAATTATTATCAAATATATCTCTGTCCCAATCGTATTTATTTTCATTTTGTTTATCTACCAACAAAGGTCAAATTGAATACACTCTAATAAGAGAATCCATTGAAGATGAACAAATTTAATTCAAGTACTTGTGTCATCAGAGTGACAAATCACATACAAGTACATTGGGGCACAAATGTAATTAACTAACTAATTGTAACTAACAATTCATATTACTTTAACCTAAAATGACCGCTATAACCCCCAATTTGGTTTACCTCTTCATTCGTATACACACGTGTCGTTTATACAAGCTAATCCACTTTATACACAGGCCGTACCTGATGCAATGGATAAAAATTAATTAAATAACTATTCATTAACCAAATTTAATGATTTACTAAATTTTAAAAAAGCTTTCCCATTTTTCCCTCTATTTACCATCACTAGCATATCATTCAAATACCCCCACTTTCGCTATGATACAAATGCATATACACACACTAACACACACATATATACAGATGTTGTATGTATAATTGTATATACATTTACAACACATTCTCTTTTGTAAAATGTAACAGTAAAGTAAACTTTATCTAGAGTATCAATGACGGAACATTTCGTCTCAGACAACGATCCCTTCGAGCTGTCTATCTCTACTAGTCCCTTCGGAAGCATCGAGCGCAATGTTGGTGGGTTCATGCACGATGATTTGGGGGTTCCCAACGTTGTCAAAATCGATGAGAAGTTCCTGATCAATCCTCACCACCTCTCCATGGGCACATGATCAACGAAGGCCCGTACTCAATCGTCTATGAAGGATTGTGGGTACCACTTTTCTCTCTCTCAACTCATTTTTATAGCTGTATTTATTTATTTTTATTTTTTTGGTGATTTCAGCTTCATTTCATCACATTTTTGTTTATCTTCTTCAATTGTTCTTGCATTTGCATTTGTACCCTGGTTCAAATTGTCTTTGTTTTAATTTAGCTCGAATTTTTACAAACAATGGGTTTAATTTAGGTCAGTGATAAACCCTTATTTTGTAATGAAAATATTAATGGGTTATGTGTTTTGGTCTCTAAGCTGTTATTCATCACTAGGAATTTAGTCTCGCAAAGCACAGGGAGAAAGGGAGTTTATGTGCATGGTTGGGTGTTAAAAATTCTCTATTTTTGTAATATATCTACATGACAGAGTGAATCACTTCTTATCACGTAACCATGAATTAACTTTAAAATTAACATTTAATCATTTGACAATTCATCCATGCCCACACTTTAACCATGAATTAACTTTAAAATTAACAATACACTAAATCATACATAGCCATCACATGCATATTATACGCATATCATTAATTTAACAACCAGCCTATTAAGATATGCCAAATAAGAATGATAATATTAATCATCCTAAATGATTTATATATATATATACCTACACATATGTTATTTAATGTATATATGTGTTTAACACCTTCTTTAATAATCCTTAATTATTTAAAATCAATATACATATATATATATATATATATATATATATATATATATATTCATCCTTCCATACAACTCATAGACAAATTAAACTATATATACACATATATAAATAATTATATTCATCATTCCATACAACTCATACACAAATTAAACTATATATACACATATATAAATAATTTTATATATATATATATATATATATATATATATATATATATATATATATATATACACTTCCTTCCATAACAAATTATTAATTTATTATATTTACACAAATTAGTGCAACTAAATATGTCAGAAATAGTTTCCTTTAAATACTCCATATTGGTTTAAATAGTTTTCCGACACTTTCTCACTAAAACATAAATATCTCCTAGTAGGATGGGAATCTGATAATGAAATTGGTACCATTGGAAAGAAGACGAAAAATCCTTGAATTTGAGCTCAAGAATGACCCAGTTTCGATTTAAAATGACTAAATTATGACCATTTTAATTTTATGTCACAAACAGGCAAAATAATTGGCTGAGCTCAAACACTACTGTGAGCGCGCCCACACTTAATTAGCTCACTTGAGCTCACACAAACGCACCCACACCAGATTAGCTCACTTGAGCTCACATGTATGCACCCACACCAGATCAATCTTCTGTTGACCAAACTTAATCCATGGTCCAGATTCACATGTGCACTCTTTTGTGTACACCGCAATGCACCGAATCATTCCACTTATATCTAAATTATTCCATTGGCCCAGATTAGTGGTGTAACCTCTTACCATGCACCGTCCTACACCAGATTACTACCCTATTGTTGCGCCCACCTTACAAACGCCGCCTCCAGTGTTGTGTATATATATATATATATATATATATATATATATATATATTATAAATTATCTATATAATTTTGCCAAATTAAGATAGAAAATAATTCTTGAATAATTCCAAAAAATATAAAACACATTCTAAAATTAATCTAAAAATTCCAGAAAATTCTCATAAATGCTAGAAACACTAATTAACCCTCTTGGGTCTAGATCCAGCCTATCGATTGATGTAAACAAAATATACAACACATATATAAAACAATAAAAATCTAAAATTCCAAAAATAAAATATAATAATTCATATTTTTAAGATTCCGTTCTAACCATCATTTAATCAATAAATTTAATCTTAAATTTTGATACTCAAGGTGAAATCCTTATGAGTTCTAAGAGGAAAGTTAGAGAAGAACTCGCCTGAAGGTTTCGAAACGAAACCGACGCTTTAAGCTTTAATTATCTCTTCCAATTCCGACGTCCTCCTTTTCAGATCCGACCTCCTCCTTGTCAGCCCTTCTTCTTCCTCTCTCTCTGTCTGTTTTATTTTTCTAACGTGTAAAACCTTTAACCCTAAAGCCTTATGTGTATTTTTATACACCTTAAATTCCAAATCCTATTCCAACTAGTATTATGAATTAAAATAATAACCTTTAAATAATTTATATCTATAAACATATATTATATATAAATATATATTCCTTCCATAATTAACTCATTAGTTAATTAAATCATATATACTTATAAATCCTATTCCAACTAGTATTATGAATTAAAGAAATAACCTTTAAATAATTTATATCTATAAACATATATTATATATAAATATATATTCCTTCCATAATTAACTCATTAGTTAATTAAATCATATATACTTATAAATATCAATAAATATATATCTATATATATATCTTTCCATAACAATTATTAATTAATTATATTTATATATAATTATATATATATATATATATATATATATAAATATAATTGATACAAAAGTGATCATTTAAATAATTAAATAACCACGGACCTTCATTAATTAACCCAATAAGGTTTCATACAAGCCCAAGACCACATCTGTTGGTCCAACTTTCCTTAAGCCCAATCCAATTAATTTAAATAAATAAGATAATTAATTAAATACAGAAATTAAAATAACTAATTACATGAAGCACATAAACAAACAAGAATTTACAACTAAGTCATATAATACCAACAAAATCAACACACCAATAATTCAATCAATAATCAACCACACAAACAATCAATCATCATACATAATCACGAAATATAACTTAATTAAAATAAGATAATTAATCCAGCACTCAATAAAATAAAATAAATCATTGAAAAATAAAATAAAATAATTAATCCTAATTAATAAATCTTTTAAAATTATCGGGGTATTACATTCTTCCCCCCTAACAAACGGAATTCCGTCCTCGGAATTCACAAATCCATGAAATAAAAACTTTGATTATTTAATTTCAAATTTCATTATTCCTTTTATCCGTGTGGAAATTAACCCATCCACACATATTCATTATTAGCAGACACATCACGTAATTAGCTAATTCCATATTTATATAATTGATAAATATAAGTACACACTAGAGACTCTCACTGGACTAAAGCAGTTTCAACTGGATAGTGGGTATCTCATGTAAAACGCACACAAAGGTGGTTACGAGTCCTCCTTCTACCAGAGCCCACACATCCTTAAACCCAGCTACCCATCTCAATCGGCAATATACGCCTCCATCCTAACCACTGATCCTGAGACTCAAGCTTATATCATGGCCCATATATGTGTGTGTGTATGTATATATATATATATATATATATATATATATATAATCCATTATATCCACATAAAAGTAAACTATTCAACCATATTATTTCAATGGCATACCATCCAACTATTCCGTTGACCTGACACGAATAAGTAGGACTTAACGCTATGGTTAATCCGTTCTCTTATAAATATATAGGTAGGACTTAACTTCTTTGGTTAATCCGTCCCTGAAATGCCACCGTCCCATACCGGTGTATTAAACCATACCATTCATAAATAAATAGGTAGGACTTAACTATTCCGTTAATCCGTCCCTAAAATACCTCCATATTATTTTATTGGTGCATAAATCCATAAAACCCATACTTCAAAATTAGGGGAAGACTCAACGATTTACCAATACCTTCTAAATCGATGTCTTACCATTTTCCTGATAAGACTCAATGATTTACCATTAGGACACACTAACGGACCGAATATAGAATACAATGAATCCTAAACTTAAGCTCTAAGTAAGAGTACACAACGCGGAAGTCACACAACGAAAGACACCCTAGGGACACTTGAACCTGGAGTGCTCTGATACCAACTGTGATACCCCCTAATTTTGGAACACGGATTGATCAAGTCCGCGCACAAAATCAAGGGATATCAAAACAATTTAAGTATTTAACAAGCACAGAATACAAAGATGAATAATAAAGAATAAATAAACCGCTGAAGAAAACTAATAAATAAATATTACTTAATGATTCTCCAACAATTACAATTCGGAAATCCCATAACTCAAGGACCCCTTAAAACATTATCCAATAATCCAATACTATTTAAAAGTACACAAGATGAATAGATGAATGACAGTCTCCCAGCTGCGGATCCTCAACCTCGAGACTGGAACCTCTAATAACCTGAAAAATAAATCGTGGGTTAAACCCTACGAGCAAGTTCACTCTACCAGGCCTCTGAAAACCAATAAGCAGATCATCTCTGATCAAAACCAAACCTAATAAAGTTTTAACTTTAATAAAGCACGATATACATGTCTATATATAATTATATATACTATACTAATCACATCCATTAATAGGTTTATTAAATTTCCATACCTATTAAATAATTATTAAAATAATATTTATACCTAGACCAATCTACCATTTCATTTTATAAAAACTCCTTTGACCTTAATCCCATCCTAGTCAGTTGTTTAATCATTTAAACAACAAATTATAATAAAAAAAATACTCTATTTAATCCCAACCCGATAATGATTTTAATTGTTTAAATCACATATCCAAAATCCAAGTTTTGACAAATCATCCACGTCTTCCCCAATATTATTTTATTAATGTAAAATAATACACTAACCAGTAAGTACTAAACTATTCTCATTTAAGAATATCTAACCCTAATCCAATCCATACATACAACAACCATAGATGATATTTTAATCATCTAACACATAACAACGTAATTATGCTTTGGCAAATCAACCATGCCATTGTAAATATTTTTATTTATATATTGGCAATTCAACCATGCCTCCATAAGTATATTTATTTATACATTGGCAATTCAACCATGCCTCCGTGTATGTATATTTATACATTGGCAATTCAACCATGCCTCCACAGGTATATTTATTCATACATTTAATTAGCAATTCATCCATGCTTTCCATATATGTATTCTATTCATACAAATATTTAG